ATGTGATATATGTGCTGTGTAATATATCTGTGCTGTGAAACATATATGTGCTGTGATATATATATGTGCTGTGAAATGTAATGCAAAAACAAAAAAAAATTCAGATTTCTGAGGCTTTGCCGAGTGTTATGACCAAGACACTCGGCAAAGCAAACATAATTTGCCGAGTGTTATCAGCAAGACACTCAGTGAAAAGCTATTTTTTTTAAAACCAAATACTGTTTGAAAAATGTTTGCCGAGTGTCTTCCAGCGCGACACTCGGCATATGTTTATCATTTGCTGAGTGCAGCACTCGGCGACAAGGAATTCTAAAAACCAAAAATATTTAAAAAAAATTAGTTGTCGAGTGCCTTACCGTTTGACACTCGGCGAAGTCGCTGTTAACGGCGGGTCTGGCGTTATGACCGTTTCTTTTCGCCGAGAGCCAAACTGCACACGGCAAAAACTTTGCCGAGTGCCCGATAAATGGCACTCGGCAAAGTTGGCTTTGTCGGAACTGTTTATGGCGAGTGCTTTTCGCCGAGTGTTACACTCGGCGAACAATTTGCCGAGTGTTTTATGTATTTTACCGAGTGTTTCGAGCACTCGGCAAACTCAACGAGTCCGGTAGTGCTATATGCAAGGGCGGATTTCCCACTAGGGGGTTAGGGGGCTCTAGCCCCCCTACCCGCGGCTGCACCCCCCTCAGCCCCAATCCCAATAAATATTTTAGCTGTAATAAACTTGTCAACCATCGTTTTTGGGCCCGGTGGAGATGCCCGCGAGAATGAAAGCCGTGGAGGCAGTCTTGAGGGCTCAAGTAGGGGCTTTACTGGACTACTGTTTTTATGCTGAGTTCTCAAATTTCAGTTTAGGGGCTTGTTTGAGGGTATTGCTGGAGATGCTCTTAGCATAGTTATTAGGACCGGACTGAACATCGAACTAGTAAGTCCATCGGTTCACTGGTCCAACCGTTAAGAACCGATTGAACCGCCGGTTCGATAGTTTTGGACCAGATGAATTGAACAAGCCACAAATACATCGGACCGCTGCAATATAATGATGTACAACAAATAATTAGCATCATATTGTTGATCACATATACAAATAACATGGTAAAAAACTAAATCATATAATTAGCTCTCAACTAATCATATGATTTAGTTGGGCCAACATTTGGGCTCGCATTTAAGATTTTTTGCATACAATTAGCTCTCAACTAAATCATACATTTGGGCTCGCACGCCACACTTATTTGCCTTTTGCATTTATCCATGTTCTGCAACCCACTTCCAGAGTACAGTGAGTGATACACTGACTCTCTTACACAAAAGGGAGAAATAAGCACAGCCAAAAGGTCCGTATCGCATGTGTTTGGTATAGCTTATAAGCTATTTATAGTCAAAATAAGTTCAAACTATAAACCAATTGACAGGATTTTCTGCAAGTTTTTTCTAATCGCACTTCTTCCTATGGCTTCATTTGTACTAAAACAAAGAAGTTGAATTATACCAACTCTAATCATGTTTCTTTTTCTCTATCTGACCATCTTATGAAAAAAGTTGTATGAACATAAGACGTTCGTGCATGACCTCATATCACACATAAGACAGGACATCATGCGCCAGTTGTGACACATATCACAAAGAAGACGAGGACTGCTATGACACATATCACAAAAAGAAGGCGGGGACATCGGTGGAGTGTAGCATGTCCGTGCAGTGCGCCTACAATGTGAGGTGCTAAGCCGCTCCTATATGGATGTATCCAATTTCTTTGCACCGTAGGTATGAATCCAACTGGTCCTATAAGATAAATAACAAATTGTCTTTTGTCCTTTTCATTTCATTGTCCTCTCATTCCTGGCCTCCATTTATATATCCAGCCTATGGTTTTATGCATTATAATCATTTTTTATAGGACTGGGATTGGTCCTATACATTGAAGTTGCCTAAACAACTGAGTACATGTTTTAGAGCTTCTGCTCTAGATTTTCTGTGAAAGCTGATTTTCTAATTAAAGTGATTTTCTATTTGAAATAATTCTTTAGGGCGTACCGTGACTCTGTACATGAAGTGAAACAAGAGAAACTATTTTTTTTTCACCTGCCAACCCTCTAGTCTATATTTGAAAAATGTCAGTACAAAATCACTTATCAATAAAAAACTATTCATCAGAATTTCTCCTCGATTCAACCTGTAAGTTGGTTGCTCTGATCTGGAAACCTACCAAATAGCCTATACTTATCTTTTCCGTGAGAACAAAATCAAACCAACCACGCATTCAGTAGTGAGTGGTTTGCCTCTACGTGTCAGAGATTATTGTCAGTTGGCAAGCACAGTGAGATCCTTGGATGGACTTATTGAGTAGAGTGGCTGCAGCCAAACCACTACCAAATTAGGTAGCACTCAGCCACTCACTCTCAATCTCACTGATCCATAACCGTTGCTTGCAGTCTTCCATGGTGCATTTTATATTACTCTATCTTATATGTAGCAATGCGTATAGTACACGATGTTTAGACCTTTCGCTGTGTAATAAACTATGAAAGCAATGTGATTTATAGCTCAGTTTAATGAGTTAATTTGGGTGGTTCCCCACGAGAAGCAACTGAGCCACATATCTTTTCCGTCTCGAGAGCGAAATCGAACCAGCCACGTATTCTGTAGTGAGTGGTTTGCCTGTACGTGTCAAGAAATATTTTGGCAGTTGAGCCAGCACAATAATGGAAGACAGAGGCAAGCAAAGAGAAGAAGAAGAAGAAGGCCGATGAACGATGAGACCAACCACGTCAGCAACAACACCAAGGAATCCAAAGATACAGCCAAGCCACGACCAAAAGGTAGGAGTCACTCTCAATCTCACTGATCGATAATCGTTGCTTCCAGTCTTCATGGGAAGGGAGGCTGCACCCGCACCCGCACCCGCACCAGCGCCAGCGCCGGACAAACCGGCCGCGCATGTCGTCCTGCTCGCGAGCCCCGGTGCAGGCCACGTCCTGCCCAAGGCCGAGCTCGCTCGGCGCGCCGGACAAACTGACCGTCATCAAGCGCGCGCTCCCGCACATCCGCGACCTCCTCCGCTCGCTGCTCGCCACCCCGGCCGGCGTGGCGGCGTTCGTTCCGGACGTCTTCGGCTCGTGGGCGCTCGAGGTCTCTGCGGCTTTGATCCACTTTGAAATTTGGCTTTAGTCCTGGTATTTTTCACGTCTGGGACTAGAGAAACATTTAGTACTGGTTGGTAACTCCAACCGGGACTAAAGGTCCTGCCCAACGGTTACTGTGGCAGGTTTTTGTTGCAGGGGACCTTTAGTCCCGGTTGGAGCTATCAACCAGGACTAAAGGTTAACTTTTACTCCTGGCTGGTCCCTCCAACTGGAAATAAAAGTCTACTCCCGGCTGGAGGCTCCGTCCGAGACTAGAAAGGGACCTTTAGTCCCGGTTACTGTCTCCAACCGGGACTACAGGTCACCAACCGTCCGACCTGGGCGTACGTGTACAGGAGCGAGTAAATCGAGACAATAGTACGTAGGAGTAGCTAGCTGTTCACCGTTTTAAGCTAGCTGTTCATCGGGCACTAGCTAGCTGTTCACCGGGCTTAAATTAGCAAAACGTAGGAGTAGCTAGCTGTTCACCGTTTTTAGCTAGCTGTTCACCGGGCTTAAATCAAACGGGCTTAAATCAGCTAGTTGTTCACCGTCAGTACGTGTAAGCCAACAAAACAGTCTGTCTCTGCTAGCTAGCTGCTACACTAGTACGTAGGAGTAAGCCACCGTCAGACACATGCATGTGTATCAATTAGTCCCAGCTGGTATTACGAGCCGGGACTAAAGGTATATCTTTAGTCCCGGCTGCCACTGTCAGACACATGCATGCGTATCAATTAGTCCCGGCTGGTATTATGAGCCGGGACTAAAGGTATATCTTTAGTCCCGGCTGGTATTACCAGCCGGGACTAAATGTCTTTTAGTCCCGGGCGTTTATAGGAGCCTCGATGGGCCGGCCCAGTACGTAATATACTGGAATTGCTGGCCAGTCCCACATATTAGCACCACCTCGCTTGCTCAGAAGAGTGAAAGCTAACTTAAAAGCTCAGCTCTCAAACCATGCAGCACGAACTTGAACAGGATCTGCTCTATAGGATTGTACCGCTGATCCTTGACTAAAGATCCTTCGTACTATAGTTTATACAAAATGTTGAATATTATAAACATACGTATATTTTAGCAGCGTAGAACGCGTATTCAAAAACCAAAACGAATCATCAATTAAAAATAGAAAAAAAAGAAAATAGAAATAGAAAAAAAAAGAAAACCTTCAGTTCGGTAGTAGCGTGAAAATAGAAAAAAAAAAAAATAGAAATAGAAACAAAAAAAACCTGGTAGCAGCGTGAAAATAGAAAAAAAAGGAAAATAGAAATAGAAACCAAAAAAAGGAAAAAAAAATATTTAGTCCCGGTTGGTATTATCAACCGGGACTAAAGGACCGGTCTACGTGGTCAGGCCAATAGAAATAGAAACCAAAAAAAGAAAAAAATATTTAGTCCCGGTTGGTATTATCAACCGGGACTAAAGGACCGGTCTACGTGGTCAGGCCGGGAGGCCTCTTTAGCCCCGGTTGGTATTACCAACCGGGACTAAAGATGGACCTTTAGTCCCGAGCGTGAAACCGAGACTAAAGGAGATGCCCTTTAATCTCGGATTCGTGCTCCCAGTTCCAAAACCGAGACTAAAAGGGGTTACGAACCAAGAGTAGAGCTAGTTTCTCTACTAGTGGGAGCTCGGCATCCCGGGCTACATGTTCTACACGTCAAACCTAACGTCGATGCACTCCATCATTACATCCCGCAGCTCGACAAGACCACCGCCTGCGAGTTCCGCGACCTGCCGGAGCCCGTCCGACTCCAAGGCTGCGTGCCGCTGCGCGGCGCCGACCTCGCCGACCCTGTGTACTCCCTCCTGGTCGAACTGGTGAACAAGTGTCTTCTCGCTGACGGGTTCATCGTCAACACCTTTGACGCCATGGAGCACGAGACCATAGCCGCGTTCGACGTGCTATCCGACAAAGGCGTGTACCCTCCGGCCTACGCAGTCGGGCCCTTCGTCCGCACGTGCTCAGGCGGCGGGGAGGCAGCAGCAGAGCACAGACGCCTGAGGTGGCTGGACGAGCAGCCGGACAGGTCGGTCCTGTACGTGTGCTTCGGCAGCGGCGGCACGCTGTCCACCGAGCAGATGGCCGAGCTTGCCGCGGGGCTAGAGGCGAGCGGGCAGAGGTTCCTGTGGGTAGTGCGGTTCCCCAGCGACAAGGACCGCTCCGCGAGCTTCTTTGGCGGCGGCCACGGCGACGACAGCCCGCTAGCATACCTGCCGGAAGGGTTCGTCGAGAGAAGCAGGGCTCGCCGTGACGGAATGGGTCCCGCAGGTGGAGATCCTGAACCACCAGGCCATCGGCGGGTTCCTGTCGCACTGCGGGTGGAACTCGACGCTGGAGGCCGTAGCCGCGGGCGTGCCAATGCTCGCCCTGGCATGGGAGAAGGCGCGCGAGCTCCGGGAGGCGGCGGCAGAGGCCTGGGGGCCGGAAGGACCGTCGCGCCATGCGTTCCAGGCCGTCGTCGGTAAGTGGAAGAAAGCTGCTAGCTAGGATTGCGTATATGGTGACGTGCATATTCATCAATGTGCGCGTGATATATGCATGGTCACGGTGGCGACATGTCGTTAGAAGTTAGATGAGTTTTTGTCTCTGTGTTGCGTCTCATCACCTTGTGCTGCGTCTCTATGTTTGTCTCGTCACCTCCTTGTACTCTTATTATGTGCGTGTTGTGTGTTCCCTGAAGTCTGAAGTTCCGCAATAAAGAGGCTGCTCGATTGATCCATTTGCATAGGAGTAGTAGATCTGCAGCCTGGCTGTATCCTACTATTGTAGCATCTTATTCACATTTCCTATCTATCAGTTGCCTGAAATTTGTGTTTTGTTCAGGCGATGTGTTGTTCATCCATATCGCTTCAAGATTTGTGCATCTTCAAGGGTGCCTGTTTATCTGATGGCTGGTACCTATCGTCTGAATGGAAGCCATATTTCACGCACCTGAAATATAGCAGGATCATCATCTTATTACTGCGCTCGATCCACTTCGTATGTATGGTTACGTTGCGCTGAGAAATTCCGGGATTTGGACCTGGCCCATCAGCAGAACGCCGACTCGGACTCCCTGTTCACCATTCATCGCACCATCAGAGACTCGGTGACTCCAACTCCAACGGATGTCTCCTGCACCGGATTTGAGTCGAGTGAGACCCGCAAACAGCTTTCCCCACCAGCAGCAGTGTAAAAAGCAAAGGCGAGCGCCGCAAGACGAACTGCATACCCAACAGTTAAAAATTAGCTACTACTCCGTACAAGCTATCCACTAATCATGGAAACGTCGACTAAATCTCAGAAAATACATGCAAGATTACGGAAGACATGAGAGAGACGTACCGATGAGGTTCGGCTAAAACCTGAGACATGCATACGGACGCTTCTTCTTAATATCACGACATGGGCGCTTTGCATTGGGGTTCCCACAATGTCCAGTCGCCTTCCTCCCTCGAGCCTGCTGTTAATAAGTATGTCATCATTGTCCTCCTCACATATTTACGAGGAGATCGTGTTATAAGAGTTTTACTATATCTCTAACCTATATCTAATACAGCTCAAAGTTCTTACGTAATAAAACTGTACACATATTCAACATCTCGAGGCCATCAATGCATGAACGTCCATGTACATTGGACTTGATTTGTTTCTTTTTTCTCAGTGGGAGAGCTATCTGACAAGTCTTATCTTAGACCCATTGTAAGCAAGAGTATATGCTATCCCGTTAATTCCACTCTCCATTACTCCACTTGCAGTTTTGCATTCTCTTTCATCACTGAAAGCATCTAAGCCTCAAATTCGGATTTGGCAATTAATTAACGATGACACAATTATTCTGACTAAACTGCTTTTTTTGTTTGCAGTATTAATTACTTAGTAAAGTCACAATGATGATGATTGATTGGGCAATTATAGTTTTCATGCCTCTAATAATGGAAGTCATTTTGGTTTTCAAAGGATGTGCACAAAGGTTAAGGACTAGCTAGTTTTTAAGTGTCGATTGGACTTGGGAGACACTTGGAATAGCTATAGCTTCTTTGTTTTATCCTTTGGTTGTACTATTAAGAGCAACTCCAACAGTTTGCTAAATATCACTTGGCAAATCTATAGTTTTGCCAAGTCTCAAAACCAAATGCCAAGTGAAAAAAGAGGCCTTCTCCAATAGTTTGCTATTTGAGCTTGGCAAATTGAAAATTGGTGGCCCACATGTCTTAATTTTTTGTGGGGTCGGTGCTGGGGCGACGCCCCTTCATCTCGCGCGAAGGAGATCGCGCGGCGCGTCCATCCATCTTCGACGCGCGTACAGGGCCGCGGCGCCAATCTCCTCCCTCTGCCGCCGCCCGTTCTTCGTCCCTCTGCCGCCGCCCATCTCTTCCTCCCTCTGCCGTCGTGCAGAACGAAAGGGCGAAAGGAAGTCCAAAGTAAGTCGCGTAGAAGTCGAAGGAAAAGAATCGCAGAAGTTGCCTACTCGCGTTGCATTGGGATCCCCGGGAACATCGAGTGCCTCGACGGGGAAGGACTCGCGTGTGCACCGGTGTAGATCGATGTTGCCTGTGCTGTATTGGCTTTCTCCTTGCTTGCTTTTTTTTTAGAATCTTCTCCTTGCTTGCTTGGCAGCTGACCGGCCGGCGGCACCGGCGGCACCATGCCTAGGAAGAGATCCCGTGCTCGGAGACAATTAGATGAATCTTCATCCGATGACGACAACCTTCTCATATTCTCGGCTGCTCAAATTGTGAGCAATTTTTCCACTGCCAAAAGAAGGCCCGGTGGCTCTGTCCCTGGTCATCGAGTTATTTATCGTGATAGAGAAGGCGGCCATGACAGGATGTTTCAAGATTATTTGGCGGATAATCCAACATACGGCCCTGACATATTCCGTCGAAGGTACATGATTTGATCTATCACATCAGATTTGTTTGTAATATGTGCTTAATTATTATTTGAGTTTTAATTTTTGTTAATTTGTTTCTTCAGGTACAGGAGCTTTTTCGACGCATAATGAATGCTGTTGAAGCGCACGATGATTACTTCGTCCAGAAAAGAAATGCAGCCAATGTACTTGGATTGAGTTACTTCCAAAAGGTCACTGCCGCAATGCGTATGCTCACTTATGGGGTTCCAGCTGATGCTACAGATGAGTACGTTCGCATTAGCGAAAGTACTGCACTGAAGAATGTCACTCAGAAATCCATCCCCTTCCATATGAATGAGTCTACAAAAAATAAAACTGGCATCATCAGACCACTGATCGATCTGTACGGCAGCAGCATCCATCCCCTTCAATTATCAAGAACCACAGATCGATCTAGCAATTACCATGAAGCTACAGATGCATAAACCTAGCGGACAAATAAAGATCGATCTAGCATATACCTAGCGTGCACCTACAGATCGTTCTACGGTGCTTGATCGGGATAACAAAAAAGTGCAGCTCATCAGACCTAGCTGATCGGATCCTAGCAATATCCTAGCAGCCGCCGGCAGCCAACGAGAATAAAGATCGATGAAACGAGATCGAGGGAAGAACCTACCTTCTCTGCTCGCGTTGATCCTTGTCTCCTCGCGACAGCATCCGCCGGTGATCCGGCCGTCTCCTCCAACTCGCGACGAAGAAGGGCGCCGGTGGTCCGTCTACTACTCCTCGCGACGCTGCACACGCGAGATAAAGGAAGCCGCGCCTGGCTGTTCGCGCGCGCGGGAAAGGAAAGGCGGGACCGCTTCGCGCGTGCGGGACAAGCAGCGGCGTCGTACGAATTCGCGATGGCAAGCGACCGAAGCAGGCGCAAATATGCGCGTGGAAGGGCCTAGGATGCCAAGTTCCCCAAAATGCCAACTACTTTTGCCAACTTGTTGGAGGCTCATTTTTTTGTTTTTGGCAAAAATCCTAGGATGCCAAGTCCTTTTAGCAAACTGTTGGAGTTGCTCTAAGGGAGGGTATGAATGGGTATAACTTTATGTAGTTTAAATCTAGTGACTGGATATGTGATACACACTTATGAAACTAGCACTAGGTAGCTCAGATGAATCCTAGCAAATTGGAAGGAAAGCCATTTTTAAAGATGTTTGATTTGGGCGAAAATTGTCTGTTTTTATAGCCATTAGAACTCTCCAGTAAGGTCACCGAACCTTAGGCTATGTGTTGGGTGACTGGCAGTAAACTGTGCACAGGACCATAACGTTCAGTGGTCACGGGAGTTGTACCACCAAAGTTAGGTATCAACAGGTCACACAGGAGTTTGAGAACTCCCAGATGCATTGGGATTGTCTAGTGGGGTCACTGGAGAGCTCCACTAGAGGTTCAGTATGGAGAAGGTTCCACAGTAAACGGAGAAGGTTCCACGGTAACGAGAAGGGTGCCATCCTTCCCATTATGGAATCTATACAACATCTCCAGGGACACAATTCTAGCACCAATGATGAAATTGACATGACACTAGAACGACTCTCATCATGGAAGCTGGTTGTCACATTATTAATTTGATACACTCTGATAAACCATAGTGCATCTTATAGCCATCTAATCGGCTCAGTTATCTACGACAAATTCTATAAGTATGTTATGATGTCCTGGATCATAATGGTGCTGAACAAACAATGCTAGACCGCCATAGCCCATGGATCTATTGTGCCCCCTACAAGATAATTAAATATAGTATTTTAAGGTAGTTTTAAATTTAAACATCTATGAGAAAAATCAAAATAGATCATCAAACATAAATGACTCGATATTCATACCCAAAGCCCAAAGTCCCAAATTAATAGATGTTGCGTGACATGAAGGTTCATTATTCGTCACGAGAAGCAAACTGCTCCCTCTAGTCCAGTTTATAAGGCCACTACCAGAAAATAGAATATTCTTAGCCAACCACTAATTCCCTTGAGGGGCGAAATTGAACCCTCAAGGAATATATCAATACCTAGGTGGTTGTAGGAAACCTCCAAGGAAATGCATATTTCTTGAGTGGCAACCCAAACCACTAAGGCAATTTCACATTTAGTTGACTTCTAGTCCAAACCGCGAAGGTAATTTCACATTTCCTTGAGTATTATCACAAACTGCCAATGTCATTGCATATTTTCTTATGTGCTATTCTAGCTGCAAAGTTAATTCCTTCTTTTGTTGAGTGTTATCGCAAATCGCCATGGCAATTGAACATTTCCTTGGGTGTTATTCCACACCACCAAGTAAAATGTTATGGTTGCCTAGAAAATATGTTCATTTTGTAGCCTATCATATTAAGCACCAATAATATAAGGACTTATTGCAAACTTGTTAGTTAGACATTAAATTTATAGAGACAAACGCTTCTTTGAGATGGTTGTGGAATGAAATACAATTTTTTTCTTGGTACATCAATCTAACAAATGGTACAATTTTGAGTTGTTGTCCATTAGAGAATGTGTATTTGCACTTACCTTGAGATAACTAGTTAGTTTTAAAGCTAGCATGCAATGTATTAATATAGGATGAAGACAAATTTATATCAAAGTTATAGAGATCGAAGAGATCTCCAACTTTGTAGTTGATGACCATTTCATTTAAAATTACTTAGAGTCCTAAAATTATATTTTGAGTTCCCAAAGTTTTGAAATTCAAATTCTTTGAGTTTTCCAAATGACCTCGGATTGAGATAATACCTAAACCAAAGTTGTAGTACTTGACGAGATATAAAACTTTTCAGTTAAAATTTTTTTCATCTAAAATCATTTATGTTCTCAAATATTCATTATAAGATTCATTAAAGTGAATATAAATAGAAAAAATAATTCGTTTAGTCACAAGTGATTTTGTGTTGTAGTGGTAGGTTGTTTTCACGTGAAAATCAAGTCGTGACTTTGATTCCCGTCTCCAAGCATAAAAGCAGATTTCTCTTGAGAGGTTTTTTTTTTCTATATATATCTTTTGTGGTTAGTATACCTCAGGAAAATATATCCTTAATTTCCTTGAGG